TGATCACGACTTGTATGTTCCTCGTTTCATTGTAGGTCGAACCACATCCAATTACCACCGACTGAGGTGGAGTGCATGGCGTATCCGGAAGGGTTCCTTTCCACCGAGTAAATTGCACGGCCATTACCAGGGCTCATTTCAAAAAAAAAAATATGTGAAAAATCTTGGTTGGAAGTGGCTTGGTGTACGCAGGAGTTTATGCTTCCTGTGGTGTACATACTCGCTCAAAGCTGCTTTTACAAGGTAGTGAATGCGTCATCTGGGATTCAGCCACAGACTTCAGAACATCTACTGCTATGCTCCATATTCTGCCCAAATCGGGTAGTGATAGTGCTCAACAAGATCGATCTCGTGAAAAAGGAAGAGGTGATGTGACATATGCGTTTATTTTCGCTTGGATTTCGATCGTTACTAATATTATGGAGCAAGGCATAAGAATATTCATGCCCAATTTCAGATTCCTGGAATTACAAAGTTACGGAAGGCTCTCAGCGCGTTGGGAGTCTCAGAAAACTCACCGGTAAGTGTTGAGTTTTGTCACAAAGTGCCGTAGGTGACCTTTCAGCGGGCCAACGTGCTGTGCCTGGGTCAAGTAGTCAAATGGTGGTGACCGTTGATTTCTGTCTATAGAATCAATTCCAGATTGTTCCTGTATCTCTGGTCAACCAATCTGACAGCACGCTGTCGGAGCTGATGGAAGTTCTGGAGAGTAGCATATTTGAACCTCATCGTCAAACTTCAACGAGGTACTTTGAATTGTAAAGATTTTCATGATATGTGATCGGCTCAGTCTGATCAGTTCATCATCGGAGTTACTGCAGCAGGTCGAGTTAAATTCGGAATGTGTGTAGAGCAATGTACTGCGTCATCACTCGGCCACGTCTGTAGTGTGGGTGACTGATTAGGTTAGTTCGGTGGGCGTGGCCCTGCCAACGGCGCAGCTAAGAGTGAGCTATACTAGACGCTGCCGAAGTCAAATCTTTTCGATGGCCCATTGGCCGTATCGCACGGCCTCAGTGAGAATCTGCCTGTCTCCAATCATGGGCAATTTTTTGCCGAAGGTCCTTTGACTTTCGTTGTTATGCCTGATTCTCCTTTAAGACATCCACCAGCATCATTGCCTTGTTGAAAGAATTTTTAACAAGTAATTCATTCCAGACATCTCACGTACAATATGTCTACCATAATGATTGTAATGCATATTATGAATAACGATGACAATGTTCAATTTGAAAGATTCGCATCCCTGTTAGGTGTTTTCAAGAAGTTTGGCCATTTTCTCGTGATACACTCGTGTACAGTTGGTCCATTCGATCACATCTGCCAAGTGAGCCTCCTTGTTTTTTGGGACTGCATCCATGAGTTTGGTTACCTGCACATTGTTACTTGAGAACTGCATGTGAATTTGGAAGATTTCCTGGCCACCAACCTCTTTTAGCTTCTCTTCAAATGCTTTCACAGCTTGAGCGTATAATTTGTTCTTCAAATCTACAAGTTGTGGCTCTTTGGCGGCTTTAAGTTCTGCTTTTGCGAAATCCATCTCTATGCGCAGATTATCGAGCTCTGAAACGGCGACTCGTGTTTTACATTATTCCGAGCTATCGCCACCTAGCTTTTCCTATGGCCGCTAGGGGTGGCATAGCATGGCATCCTCGCAAGATTCATGGATTGCATCAGAATCACCCCTTACCATCAACCACGGTTCATCCATTTTGAAACCAAAACATGGTCGAGGGGATTAGAAAACTCATTCGGACATGCATGCACTGCAGGGTACCTTCACTGCTTTTGAACAGAGGGAGGTATGTTTCTGGGTTCGCTGACGATTCTTTCCGTTACTTCTTTACTGGAGAACAGCGCCATAAGCCCCCACCTCGATCCTGGTACTTGCCATCAACATAACGTTCGACAGAGTGCAATTTTTCGTGAATTTTTTGTTGATTTTCCGTGCTGCCCATGTAGATATGAGGTCTACCGGACAAAAAATATGAAGCTTCCATTCCAGAACCACGCCGCTTTCACTACACATCTCATTTACTCCTTGGCATATTGAAATGAAACCTTTGATGTCTTGGTAAAGGTCACCTAAACCGGTCCACCAGCATCTGTTAGAGCAGCTACCAATACAGGAACTTCCTGGTTGAAGATTCGTTAATAGTAACAAAGAGAGGTAGTCATAAATGAATGAAAATGTAAGCATTGACTTTGACCAAACTTTTTTTGGGAATGCGCCACGCATCCCACTTTCACTCACAATGGCGTCGGCACTTGGATGCAGTTGGCCTATAAAATGACATGGTCGTAAGAAGCAGAGCAAGTGCACCACCTCTACCCTGATGTAGCCAAAACGCTCAATAAGCAGCATGCACATCCTTTACCAGAACTATTCTCTGGAATTCCACCTTTCCACCTATCGCATCCATCAAATTTCCTCTAGAGAGCTCTATAACAATGTAAGTTGGCAGTAAGCAGTGTTATGGCCTGCTAATCCCTCACTGGCAGCACTTCGACACCCTCCACTGCTCGGAGAATCAATTTACTTACAAGTTCAATTTCCTTTATTTCCCTCACTGCTGTAAGTGATCTTGACCTTGCATGCGTCATTAATGCATTGCAGTTCAGCCGATCAAGCCCTCCCCCTCAGGGCCTTCTCCTCCTATCCCTCTACATCCACTGCATCCTTTCCAGTCACTTCTGCGGCTGCCGACGAG